CTCCCCTCTGCTAACAAAGGCTAACACATTTGCTGCTTTAAAATTTCTGAAATTATTTATGCACATATATTTTTTTTTTCATAATTTCGTTTTAAAATAATTGTTCATAACTGTTTGTGATATCAGACATGAAAAAAAGAATGAGACTGCTCGAAATCGTTTCATTTGGTGAATAATTCTTTTTGTGGTTTTATTTTGTTGAAAAAAAAAAAAACACGGTAGGATTATTTTCATTGCAATTAATGTATAGAAAAATTGAGATTTTTTGAAATTGTTTTTTTTTTCATATGAAATAAAATGAAGTATAAAAGTTTAAGTTCGATGAAAATAGTTGTTTGAATAATTTTTTTTTCTTTTTTGAGAAAAAAAAATGAAACGTTTGAAATGAAAGGAAGAAAAATAAATTATATATACGAATGGAACTAAAATAAAAGACGATTACGTTCAGGCAATGAATCATTTGACCTTATGACATTTGCAAATGCACAGTTAAGCGTAAAATGAAGTATGGAAAGTTTAAGTAAGCTTGATAAAAATAACTATTTGAATAAATTTTTTTTCTTCTTTTTTTGTGAGAGTAATACAGTTAATGATAATTATTAAATTGAACGGAAATGAAAAAAATTTCTATCAAACATATTGTAAACGGAGTAGCTTTAGCTGAAATGTAATTTTTAGCAATGGAAAATTAATCATCACAGATTAACCAAAATAAAATTCCAAAAATTTTTTTTTCTTTAAATCTCCGATTTTTTCTCAGATGCGATCAGATGATGATCGTTTGATATATTTTGCATCTCATTAAATTTAAATACAAACCGTTGAAAATAAATTGATCAGAGCTTACTGCTATACGAGTATGTCCATCTAATTTTACTATATAATTATGATGATAAATTAGCTACGATTTTTGGCCTCCTTTCTTTTTTAATTTCTACTACAGCTAATTATAACTAAAAATTGAATTGTAATATAATGTGTTGTAATATAAAGTGAATTGTAATATAATGAAAAAAAAATACGAGTGATAAAATATGAACGATTGGATTGTTGCGGCTTGCAGTTTTATCCAAACAAAAATGCTAAAATAGCAAATTCAATTTAGCATCGTTCTGATTGAATCATTTAACGATATTCACCTATTTCATAGGCCAATAATGACAATAGCTTATTTTAGTTAGGACCTAAGAGAGATTATAAATATTGGCCAAGTTTTCATCGTATTTTTTTATAAAGCAAATATACATTGGATCAAAAATCAATGTTTAATTTTTTTTATAACTCATTAACAATTTCATTAAATGCTTAGCACATTTCGATGATTTTAATAAATTTGGTTGAAAAATTTTGATGAACCATTTGGAAAAAATTGAGAAAGCTTCCATTTACAGCAACAGCAAAACTTAGAGCATAATGTTACATTTCTGTGCATTCTTTTTTTTGAAACAATTAACATTTAGTAGTTTATTTCATTTGACAAATAAACTTGAGAAAACTTAAACAGAACTAAATAACTTATAAAACAATTAAACTTCATATGAAATTAACTGTATATGAAGTACGAAGAATTGCTAACAATATTATTGTTAATTCTTCTCTTTCAAGGTAACTTGACCTTTCTTCTTGGGACTACGAGGTGATTGCCTACAAAGTTTGTTGCTTCGAAGATCAGAAAGCTGATGTATTTTGTTTTAAAGCTTTTGGAATGATATTGAAACTAAACTAAATATCATTAAGTGTAACATTATAATTTTAATTACTACAAAAGCAAAATCATCAAGATCATCACAAACAGATTAATAGGTCATATAGGAGTTTTTGATATGACACTTACTGTCACTTTGACCTCTATAAGGAAAACAAATATGAAATAAAGAAGTTTGATAATTAAATCTTTCTTCTTTAACGTTCAATTATTATCGATAATTTTCATATCAAAGTATTTTCAAATTTAGTAACTTTTATAAAATTTTCATTTAAAAATAAAAGGAAATTAATGAAATGCATCTATTCAATAATAAAGTTTTCTTTTCATAATCATTATCTATTCATTATCATTAATAATATCATCATATTACTATTTACAGAGAGTAGTAAAATACAAAAAAAAATAGTATTAGTATTATCAAAAAAAGCATGAATAACAACTATTTTGTTATATTCAAAACTTTTCAACAATAAAAATCAATTTAATCATACCGAAAGCAAGAAATTAAACGAAACGAAAGACTAAAATTATAAAGTTATAAAATATAATTGTGAAAAGATTCCGTTTAACAAATTGAATATGTCGCAAATTCAATTTAATTAAACAATGATGTAAATCTGTGTGAATTTCATTTTTGTTTGCATTTTGAATTTAACATCATTTGCTACTCATTTTACAAAATCTCTGTATTCCAAAAAAGTAAAATTAAAGTTTGGAAAAATGAAGAAAAAAATCCCCGTCATTATTTTCATCTTCCTATTCACTCAAAGGAGTTTTTTAAAAGTAGTTTATAGGTAAGTAAAATTGTTATTTATGAACTATGAATTACCTCGATAAAGTGATTGAAATTCGATTAAAAATAGAGATGAATATAAATTTATTATGATAAGATTGAAGTTTTATCTCCATTTCAGTCCAGCAATATCCACGCTATCGTTTGGATGAGCAAATTTGACAAATAAGCGAAGTTCTTTTTTATTAACTCAATTAAATTTGTTATTGAAATTATAGCCCCTTAATTGGTAATAAAGTTTCTTTAAAAATAAATGCAGCAATTTATAGAAAACATTTCAAAAATTGAAAATTTCATAACAGTTGGGAGTCAAACGTTTGGTTTGATGCCTGATAACAGTTAAATGATGAATCAAATTTTTGCATTCGTTGATAACCTGATAGCGGTTAGATGGGAAACAAAATATCTGAAATCAATTCATTAACAGTTCAATGGGAAACCATAAATATTTGCATTCCTAACAGTCTAATTTATTATTCCATAATAAAAAAAGGCCCTTCTATTTAGTCATATTTGAATATTTCAAAATGCTAACCAAATAATATGCAAATAATTTCATGTCAGGAAATTAGTTTTTTTTTTTCCCTGTTCATTTTTCTGCCGTTATGCAAAATATCCCTTAATTTTTTTATAAATGTAAAAAAAATTATATATTCACAAATTATTACTTATGCACAAAAATTAATTGAACAAATAAAAAATTTTGATATTTGCTCACAATCTGATAAATGATACTAATTAGAGGAGTAATAATTGATGAACTGATAAGTACAGTGCAATTGTTTTTATCATTTAATTATAGTGTGAATATTTCAAATGTAAAATAGCAAATGTACAATATTCGATATTTATTCGCAGAATGGATTGATTTACAAAAAACAAGAAATCAGTAAACAATACTTGCTTAATAATTTGTACTTGTTTTTTTTTTTCTGAAAAAAGTTTTTAAATAAATTAATCGATTTAATTGTCATTTTAGTAGTATGCAAATGTGCAAATATGAGTTTATCATTTTTTCTCACTTCTTTCCCTCTTCCTCTTCACATTTCACATCCTCAACAATTATACTAATTGATTTTTTTGCATAAGTTTCATATAAGCAAAAAAAAAAACTGAACTATAGGAAAATATGGCTGAATTTAAGCATAATTGGTACGTGAAGAAAAATGAATTTATATAATTCAATTAAATTTTAAATCATTATAGATGATTTTAATGAATCATCTTCTTGTTCCTGTGATACAAATGCATGCACTCGTTTTCCGATCGGTTTACCCGTACTATCACGAGCCTGTGCAAAGCCTATCTGAGATCGTCCTACATCAAAAACAGTGTAGTAACGTCCGATGAATACATCACCAAGAATCCATAATTCTCCCACACGTTCCGGCAAATCGATACCCATGAAACCAGAAAGGCAAATTGTTTTGCCCTTTGATGTCACCTTCAAATATTTCAAACATTTATTTTGATTATAAAAATTCAACAAAAAAACAATACAAAACTGAAAGGAAAAATTTATCACAAAACTTAATTTAACTTTGATTATAGTTGGAAATTTTATATTAAAAAAAGACTGAATTTTGCTTTAAACTTTTTTACATTTTTTACTTTTTTTTTACTTTAAACAATTTTATTTTTTATATTATATAGCAAGAATTGATTGAAAAAAAAAATATTAAACTTACATTCAAAACATAATCTGTTCCTTTTAAAGTGTAACTTTTACCAGCAATAACAAATGTAATTTCCGGTAGAGATGATACTTTATAGCATGGTATGATATATTCACCGGCGTAAACATACTCCGCACCAATATATTGTTGAATTTTATCAATTTGACTTTTTGGACCGGCAATTAAGCTTGTTCCCGTATCCGCTATTGCCTGAAATTAGCATATTGTTAATTTTTTTTTGTGTGACGGGAAAAAATGAATTATATTAGCATAAATAATTAATTATTGTACAAGTACATATCCGAAAATTGTGTTATTTATGCAATTAAATTGTATTATAATTGAAAATTGAGTGTCAACTAGAAAATATTTATTTTATCATATTTTCTTCTTTGTTTCAATTTAAATATAATTATAAAAATGTGCTTGCATACGTATATCAGGAAAAAATATCGTTACAGTTTATGTATAATAAAGAATGTTTTTAAATTTTAATTCGAATTTACATCATAATCTACATATTATTCCAATACTAATTACAATGCAAATAATATCTAAATGATGTTTTTTTTTTTCATGAAATTGATTTATCAAAATGTCAGAAATGTTACTAATACATTCGATTTGAAATATTTAATAAATCCTTTACACCAAACAGCTCATGAATAGTTTTATAATTATGACAGAAAAACAAAAGAGAAATAAATTGTCAAACAAACCTGACATCCGTTAGCACAACCAATTGCTTCACGTTTGCCCTGTATGCTATCCATTTTAAATTGCCAATATCCGTGTTTCGATATGGGTGTATATGTGATTGGTGATACAAATCTATTTGCATCAATACCACCGAATGTAATTTCACCACCAATTTCATCATTCGGATTTCTGCAAATACTTAGCAATAATAAGGAAACAATAAAATCAACAATGACGACGATAAATTACAACAAGCAACGACACAAATAACAATAACAAATGACAACAATAACGACAATATTGTTTATTGTTGCTGTTTGTTATCAGCAATAACACATAACAATATAAAAACAAAAAGTGCACTTCAAAATGATCGATAAAAAGTAGGCCGAAAATTTTTTTTTTATGGAATAATGTATAAAAAATGAAAAAAAAAAGTTCAAAATGTTTACATGAATAGTGTGCTGATATTTATAAAATTTTGATAATTTAATTTAAAAAGGAAGATTTACAGAAAAAAAAAAAGGCAAACTCAAATAACCTATCAAGCCAAAAAGCAAATACTGGTTGTTGGACAACTTTTTGACTAATCATTGTATGAAATACTGGACTTAATCCGAGAACCGAAATTTCCGGAAATGCCATACCCAAAATACCATCAAATTTAGCCATGACAAATGTTATGCCAGGCTCTGAAGTTGCTTCAGCAAAAGGTTGCTCTTTAACGCAAATATTGGCAATCTAAAATCATTCTTTTTTTTTTCGCTAAGTTTTACGCAAATACAAAATGAATAGGTAAAAAAAAAATAACTTACTGAGGACGCAAAACAGGAAAGATGTATAAATTTAATTAAGTGAATAAATTAATGTTGAATATAAGCAAAAAACTGTGTGAGTAATTGAATTCCTATTAACAGTTTATAATACATATATACATACACAAACGGTATCTAATGAAATGAATCCTTTCATTGAACCTCTTCCGTACTGAATTTGTATTTTTCTACCGTCCGGTTTATAAGTTGATGATTCCGTTCCTTTGTATTTATTATGGAATACTGTAAAAAAAGTGAAAGAAAAAAGAGAAATACGAATAGACTGTTTCTTTTGTAATCAATTAAATCTAATATGCAAATTTAGAACATTACGATAAGATAATATTTCCTTTTTGCTTTAACTAAACAAAATTAAATATTATTAATAATCGAAATAACATTAATCAAATATTGTCTTTGAATTTTATTAATTAGAATGAAAAGTTTTATTATTTTATGCATGCTTGGATTGAAATTTAACTTACAGCATGCAATATCTAAAAGGGGACATTTTACGGAAGGTATCCAAAGATTCGATGAACCGGTATCAAAAACAACGCTAAAATTCTGGGCTGGTGTACCGATTGAAATTTCACCATAATACTGAGCCTGGAAAATTAATTTCATTTTAGTTAAAAATGATGAAAACTAATTAATAAACTGAAATTTTAGATTGTTAATTTTATTTGCATATAACGAGAGATTTAAATCAACAGCTTTATTATTACACTTTTAAAAGATTTAAACTTGACCTAATAGCCTATTATATCTTTAAAAAATTGAACAAAATAAATGGCTAAGACAATCTAACAAATTCAGAAGTTAAATCAAATTTATAGCATTTTTCATACAACAATATCACTTACATCCATATAATTTTTCAGCACTTCATCAGTTTCACTTCTCACATTCAGCTTTAAACCGGATTCGGAACCAAATCTCGCCCTGTACTGAATCAATTTCCGTTGAATCTGGAAATTGACTAGCTCGCTGTATGCATTCCCTGATCCAACTCCTACAAGATGTGAACGGATTGATTCCTGTTTGCGCAGCGCTATCCTGAAATACATTCCTATCTCGGTAGCATATTTTTTAACCATGATCTGTTACTGTACAAGCGTACAGTAAAGAATTTCATAAATAACTTTTGATGAAAAGAAAGCAAAAAAAAAAACTTTAGAAAAATTGAAGATAATTTTGCGAGAAAAAAAATATGAATTTAAAGAAATCGCATGTCATCCATTTTCAGAATGGGACAAAGAATATAAAAAATTTGCATATAATCGATTCATAATGAATTAAACGTACTGTTTGCCAAATTTCTGTTTTTTTTTTCT